CATTTTTTCATATGCCTATTGGCCATTTGTATGTCTTCATTGGAGAATTGTTTACTTAGTTCTTCTGCCCACTTTTGGATTATGTTGTTTTGTTGTTGTTATTGTTATTAAGTTGTATGAGCTCTTTATACATTCTGGGAATTAAAGCTTTGTGAGTCGCATCACATGCAAATATTTTCTACCATTCTGTAGGTTGTCATTTTGTTTTGTTTATGGTTTCCTTTGCTGTGCAAAAGCTTATAAATTTCAGTAGGTCCCATTTGTTTATTTTTGCTTTTATTTCTGTTGCCTGGGTAGACTGCCCTAGGAGAACATTGCTAAGATTTATGTCAGAGAATGTTTTGCCTATGTCTATCAGTGGATGAATGGATAAAGAAGATGCGGTATATATTTACACAGTGGAATACTGTCCATCTATCAAAAAGAATGAAATCCTGACATTTGCAAAATGGTTGGACCTTGAAAGTATTATGCTAGGTGAAATATGTTAGGTGGAGAAACTCAAGTACTGTATGATTTCACTCTTATGTGGAATCTAAAAAAACAAAACAAAAACAAAATAAAATGAAAACAATCTCATAGATAGATAAATTTGGTGGTTATCAGAGGAGAAGAAGGTTGGGGGATGAGTGAAACTGGTGAAGTGAGTCTACTGTATAGTGGTGCATGGTAACTAGTCTTGTGTGATGATCACTTTGTGGTCTATACAGATGTCTAATTGTAATGCTGTACACCTGAAACTTACAAAAAAAAAGTTTTCTTCTATACTCTACATTGTCTGTTTTCTCTGAGTTCCTATTTTCTATTGTTTATTTTGATCTCTCTTTCATATTGGAAGCTACCCTTGTTTGCTAATCCTTGACCAATTGTTTATTTTAGTTCCCCTTTCTTTTAGCTTCTTCCTTTGTAGTTTGATGATTCTCTTTAGTGGTATGCTTGGATTCCTTTCTCTCTAGTTCTTGTGTATCTATTGTAGATTTTTAATTTGTGGTTACCACGGAGTTCAAGTATCTTGACTTATACCTACACCTAGCTTTAAACTGGTGGTCATTTAAGTTCAAACACATTCTAAAAAAAAAAATCTACATTTTTTTGCTCCCCTTTTCCATGTTTTGTATTTATGATGTCATATTTTACAACTTCGTGCTTTCCCTTCACTGTTTAATTCTAGCTAACTATCATTTTTGTCTTTTAATCTTCATACTAGTTTATTTTAAGTGGTTGAGCCACAGCCTTTACTATATATTTACCTTTACTAGTCGAATTTTTCTTTTCCTGCAAGTTCTTACTTGTCATAGCCTTTTCTTTTCTACTTAGAGAAGACTTTTTAACATTTCTTTTAGGTTGATTTAGTATTGGTGAACTCTTTGAGTTTTTGCTTGTCTGGGAAATTCTTTCTCTGTCCTTCAATTCTAAATGATGATCTTGCTGGATAGAGTATCCTAGGTATGTCTTGGGTTGGGTCTGTTTGGGTTCATCTTGTTTGGCACCCACTGTACTTCCTGTACCTGGATATCTCTTTGTTTGGTAAATTATTTATTTATGTTTTATTAGTTGTTTTGGGGGGGGGATTTCACTTATTCTTTCATTTAAAACAAATTCCTCTGTCTTCTCATTTTCCTTAACTTTCTCTGTCTCTCTAAAATTAGGTGAAACAGTTACCTGTTGCAGTCTTGCAAAGGTGTTTTTGTGTGAACTTATCCCTATACAGTTTGTGTGTGCCCAGTGGCTTTGGTGGGAGAGCTGAATCTGACATGAGCACATGAGTTAGGTCTTCCCCCAGGGTGTGCTGGCAGCTATCACCCTGGTAGGAGCTGGGGCTGGAGATGGAGGAACTAAGGTCAGACTTAGGTGTGTGAGCCAGGGCCTCTCCCCTCTGCTCAGTGGCTGTCACTGCCCTATAGGGGGTAAGGCTGAGTCCCAAGTTGCTGAAGCAGAAGCTCTGAGGGTTGGATCCAAGCTGGCTCTGTTCCCTCTTAAGTGTGCTCTTCCTCCTTCTCCCAACAGAGGAGAGCCTTTCTGGGGCAAGAGGGGCTGGAGGCTGGAGTGGATGCTCGGCTCAGGCTGAGGTACACTCGCAGGAAACTAGCCAGAGTCCCATGACAGTTTTACTCTCTCTCTGCCTTGTTTTGGGAGTAAGCAAGTGTGTGTACATTCTGTGAGTGGAATCTAAGTTTCTTACAACCTTGCTGTCAGTCCTACTGGTTTTCAAACCAGCTATGGGAACTTATCCTCCCAGTGTCATACCCCAGGGCTGAGGCTCCCACTATGTGGTTCAAGTCGCTCACTCCCGAAAAGGATCTGCAACCCTGTGTAATACCCCTCCTCTTCTGTGTCTCCTCCTAGGGTGCAGGTCCCAACTGATTGTTCCCTTCCCTTCCTAACCTGATTCTGTGTGGACCTTTCTTTCAGCCTTTGTTTTGTAAGAGTCTTTCTGCTAGTTTCAAATTTGTTTACACTGAGAATTGCTTCACATACAGATATATTTTTGATGTGTTATGAGGGGAGGTGAGCTCTGCATCCTCCTACTCTGCCATCTTGATCTCCCCTCCCATTTGTTCATTTTAAAACATGAGTCACTCTGAAGCTAGTTGGAAGCTCTGAGGATGTGAGGTTTAACTGGCAAGATTCACCACAAGGTGACTAATAGACAGGCTGGCTTTTCATGGGTAGGGGATGATGGTGGCAAAATGTCAATATCTTAGAGCCTTTTCTCTAGACTAGAGTCATTCAGATCCCTCCAGTCTCCTGTTTAAGAGATGTAATCCTGGCTAGCAGTGTTCCAGAAGCACGGTACAGTAAAGACCAATCTTTTTTTCTACATATGTTCAGATTGGAGGGTAAGCAATATAGAACAACTTTTTCTGTTCACAGTTGAAACTGAAACACACATAGAGTTTTGTATCTATTTTTAATTTATATTAAGAACTTCATATCATTAAAATTATTTGAGAACCCCATATTGCATGGGAAAGAGCCTTACTATATTTAATATTAGCCTTTTCCTTTGTTATACATTTATGTTGTTTCCATGTTACTTTTTTTTTCCCCAAAGATGTCTGTTTCAAGAGACTCTTAATTTATGCTCTTTTCTACACAGGTTACATTCAGTATGCTGGAAATTTACAACGAACAGGTAACAGTGATTATATTCTGACATACAAATCTAACTTACTCTCTGCAGCTTAATAAACGTCAGGGGTTCCCCCTCACCTATCCTGCACATAAAGTGAAAACTCATCAGCCCGGCATTGACCATCCAGCCCTAACCTACCTCTTTTTAGGCAGGTTCAGCTTCATTTTGTTTCTTTTTATCTCCACAGTGTCTGTGCTTCAGCCACATAAAACTGTTCTTGCTTTCCAGAACATGTCATTCTTTCCTGCATTTATTCTTCCTCTTCCTGAAATACCCTCCCTGCTTCCTCTGGCCTGAAAGAACCCACTAAACTTCAAAATCCAGCTCAGATGTCAGTTCCTCTATGCATGCTCAGACAGTTGGCTTCAGTCAGCCTGGCTTCAGTACAGGGGCGAGCAAAGTACAGATGGAAAATATTTTAGGCTTTGGGGGCCATAATGTCTCTGTCACAAGCACTCAGCTCTGCCCTCACAGCACAAAAGCAGCTACACGTAAGCGAGGATATGTGAGAGAGTGGACATACCAATAAAACTGTTTAGAGACTGAAGCTTGAATTTCACATAATTTTCACATGCTACAAAATATTTTCTTTATTTTTTTTCAGCCATTTAAAAATGTGGAAAACTTTCTTCCCTTAAAGATCATACACAAACAAGTGGAGGGCTGAATCTGGCTCCCAGGATGTAGTTTGCCTGATCATAGTTAGAGCATTCTTTGAAATCCTCTCATTTATGGGCTGTGCGACTTTGGAGAATCACTTTATCTCAGAGCTCAGTTTGCTCATTTATAAAGTAGAGGTTTTAAAATAAGACACTGCACACTGAGATGTACTGAATTTTAAATGTCTAATGCAGTGCCTATCACATATATTCAGCAAGTGCTTTTCCATTCTGGCCTCTCCCTTTGCACTTATATTATGCTGTAAATTTTTATTTACATATTTATATCTCCAGAATAGATAACTGCACCTTTCTATTGGCAATACTTAGTACAATATTTGGTCTAGAATGGATGCCCCTAAGGTTTGCTGAGTGGGTAAACTGACAAAGGTATCTAACATTATTTTTTTTCCACAGGTAAGAGATTTGCTGTCCAGAACCAAGAAACCTGGAGGGCTAAAAGTAAGAGAAGACCAACAGCTGGGCTTTTATGTGGATGGTCTGAAGTCAGTGCCTTGTGAGAACTATGCACAGATTGAAAGACTGATGGAACAAGGAACAAAAATAAGGACCACAGCTTCGACCAACATGAATGCCAGCAGCAGCCGGTCTCACATGGTCATCACCATTCAGTTCAAGCAGGTGAGATTCAAATAGATGCCGCTGTCCAGACCTCCCACCAAGGTGGTCCATGGGAAGGGGTCCCAGGGGCATTATAGGCTGGTGAGTATTATGGAATCTTTTTAGATTTGACCTGTGGGTTAAGGTGGCCACTTTCAATCATAGGCTATAGGGTCAGAAGCAGGAGAAAGTGAGGCACTTGCTCTTTTCTTGCCTCCCCCCACATCCATGCCCCACCCCGGCTAAGTGAGCACATTACTAAGGGAGGGGTGGTAGTAAGGTCTACCAGATCCCAGAAGTGCCCATGGGACTAAGGCTGCCTTCTCTCAAGAAAATTCCATGCCCTGAGGAATGAGTTTTGCCACCCTAGTTGATCAAATAGGGGAAATATGACAGTGACTCCGTGGTTTGTCGTGGAGAATTCCATTAGTATCCCTTCTGTTCATCACCAATATGATGATGACCAGCTTTCAGATCCATGAGCCTAGGGGACCACTGGATATTGAAGTGCCTCTCTAATGTTTGGAAGTACCAGGATAAAGTCTTTGAAACCGGGCAATCTATGTAACCCTCCACTAACTAGAATCTTTGATAAACTAGTGCATACTTTTCTCCTTCGTTGTCCTTGGTGGATTTCAGCCAGTGATCTCTACCATTATCAGAAATGGTTATTCACAAAGCCTGGGAAAACATTATAGTTAGCTACAGTTTTACCACCTCTGTTCCCTAAACCCCAGCACTGGTAACAGATAAAACAGTAATAAGTGAACATTGTCCTGTTCTAACCAGGGACAGTGGGAAAATACTAAACCATGTATGACTGTTTACGAGTTCTGAACCTTTGGGAAATTTAACTTTCCTGAGTCTCCGTTTCTTGTTCTGTAAAATGAGATGAATGGCTATCCTCATAGGAATATTGGGAAGCTTAAAAGATACCACATTTTAAAGAACTTTGTAAACTTTTAAGTATTATTCACTTGATTTTGCAATGTTGGTAAGATTCATAAACTTCATATATGATTTGCCCTGCTATTTTTTTTAACTTGGTATTTAGAGGCAAGAGATGAAATCAACTGAAAAAATGAGCATATTCTGTTTATTGGTGTCAGTATTAATATTTACACCTATTAGTGTATGCCAGGCATGGTTAGAACCATTACACCTTTTATCGTTTACCCTCATAACATCTCAGTCATATGCTATCATCCCTAGTTTACAACTGAGAAAGTTGAAACTCTGAAAAGCTGTCATTTGCTCATTGCCATGTAACCAGCAAGGGAATCTGCAGGATTCCAAAATGCATGGTTCCTTCCACTACATGACATCTTGAACAGTTACTTATAACTGCTTATTGATCTTAGAAATACTTGGTATCTAATATAACATTGGAAATTGCTTTGCAGAATTGGGAAGAGGCAACTGAGACAGTTGGGCCCAGTAATGTGGTTGTAAAATGTCATTGTAAAGAGGATGGCATTTTAACTTGTAAATTTTATTATGCCTTTTCTGAGTGGAAAATATAATTAGAAAAAAATATTTTAGAATGTAAAATAGATCGACTTCTTATGTAGCCTGCTACTACTCTAATAGCATGACCTGTGGTGCTTCCTCTCAGGTTTTCCTAGACAGAGACCTCACCAAACAATCCAGTATTAATCTGGTGGATTTAGCCGGAAGTGAAAGGCAGAAATCTTCAGGATCAGAAGGAGACAGACTGAGGGAAGGATCTCGAGTTAACTTAAGTTTAACCAATTTAGGAAATGTTATCAGGTAAATAATCAGTGAATAGGTAATTATTTGTGCCATAAAAATGGCCTCAAATATCAAAATTTAGATTAATCATAACCCTTGGTTCGTGACCCACTATCATTGATTCATTCCTGGCCCTCGTATAGACTTTATTTTAAACTAGTTAATTGCTTTTAAATAAAATAACCAACACTAAAAAACCACCATACAACCCAAGAAACAGTTGGTGTTCCTTTCCTGTGCTCCCTTGGGGGTAACCATCATTTTGAATTTTATCTTTATCTCCCTTCCTCCCCACTTCCTTCCTTCTTTCTTTCTCCCCTCTCTTTCTTCCCTCTTTCTTTCAACCTTCCTTGTTTTATCACATGAGTATTATTATTTAGTGGCACTGTGTTTTGTATTTTATAAAAAGGGTAAAATGTTATATGGTCTTCTAGATCTTGCATTTTTAAAGTATTAAGGTATAAATTATAGTAAAGTGTGCAAATCTTAAATTTGAGTTTAGCTCAATGAATTTTTTTACACATGTATTAAATTTTTCACAAAGCAAATGGAAATCTCTAAGCTCCTTCCCAGATCCACCTGACATCATTGTTTAAATTAGTACACTGAATTCACACACACACAGACACACACACACACACACGTGCACATGCAACATTGTATTACAGTTTTTATATATATTGGATTTCATGAAAATATTTTCTATGAGATGCTTTTGATTCCCAAAGGAAAGGAGGTACACTCAGAGTCAGGAATGCAGACCTATTACAGAAATATATATTATAGTTTTACGTATATAGTAGTGCAAATCTATGTTCTCAACATAATTACCTGCAACAATGGATCAACTCAATGAATTTTTATATATGTATATATCTATGTAGTTACCACCTAGACTGAGATATAGAACATTTCCAAAACCCAGAAAGCTGCCTCAAAGCCCCTCCTGGTTTTTAATTCCACCAAAAGGAACTGACCTTTGTTGACAAAGATTAGTTTTTCCTGACTGTATTGATTTTCATATAAATGTAATCATTTATATGAGGTCATTGTCTTTTGCATCTGGCTTCATTCACTAAGAATTGTGTCTGTGAGACTAATCCTTGTTTTTTCATGTAGCAATTATTAGTTTATATTGCTATGCAGTATGGCATTGTAGGAATATACCACTATTTACCCATTCTCCTATTAACGGACATTTAGTTTGATTTCAGGTTTTGATTATTATGAATAAAGTTGCTATCAACATTCTTGTACATGTACTTTGGGGAAAATAATTACTCCTCCTCTTAAGTATATACCCAGAAGTAGAGTTTGCTTTTAGATTCAACATTATTAACAATACCTACCCATGTTATGTGTGGCACTGGTTAATTCATTTTTTGTTCTCTATGAGATTCATCCATGTTGTTACAGTAGCAGTTGTTACTTCTTTTTCATTACTGTATAGTATTCCATTGTGAGAATATGCCACAATTTATTCCTTCATTCTCCTGTTAATTGGCATTTTGGTTGTCTCCAGGTTTTTGTTTGTGTTCTGCTATTACAAACAATGCTACTATTAACATTCTTGTGCAGATCACTGGGTATCAATATTTTAAAGTTTCTTTGAGTATAGTCCAAGAGCTGAAATTGCTGGGTTTCATATATAAGGTGTGTGAATACCTAATTTTTTAAGCTGGTGACAAATTGTTTTTCAAAGGGGTTGGCTCAACTTAAATTCCCAGCACAGTGTATAACATATCCCATTGATCTGCATCTTTTCTAAGGTTTGATATTGTCAGATTTCTTGATATTTACCAGTTAAATGGGTATAAATATATTTTACTATGGTCTTGATAGTCTTGGTTACTAGCAAACTTGAGCATCATTTGATCTGTTTTTTAGCAATATGTTTCCTCTCAAAATATCTGTTTTTATGTTTTCCCCATTATTCTGTAGGTTGTTGTCTTTTTCATAGATCTGTGGACATTTTCTTAATGTATTTTGTATTATTTTTTTCTCAGGTGTATGTATTACAAATATCTTCTCCCAGATAGTAGCATGTCTTTTCACTTTCTTTAAGGTGTCTATTGATAAGCAGAAGCTATGGTTTGTGTTTTGAATTTTTGCATTTTCTGTGTCTTGTTTAAGAAAATATAAACTTAAGTTCTAATCCATCTGGAGTTGATATCTGTGTGCAAAGTGGGCATCCTTTTAGTTATTTTTTTCCCTAATAGATGACCAATTTTTCAGTTTCATTTGTTAGATATTCTCTCCTTTCCCCAGTGATCTATGCTATTTCTGTCATACGTCAAAATTCAGTATATGCTTACTGTTTCTTGACTTTTTATCTGTAAGTTGGTCAAAGTCTAGATATAATAAACACTTTAGCCTCTTCTTGAATAATAGAATAATCTCCACCCTACATATGTACTTGTTAACATATATTTTAATTCTATTCTTCTTTAACCTCAAAAAACATTATTATTACTATTTTATACAGTTAGTGTTCATTCACATTTATTCCTTTTTTATTCATTCCTTCTTAAACCTCAGAGCTGCTGTGTAAGTTCAGTTTCCTTCTGGTTGAAGTATATTCTTTAGAATTTCTTTTAGTGATATATGCTGATGGCAAACAATTTTTGTTTGGTGGAAATTTCTTTATTTCACTTCATTTTGAAAGATAATTTTGCCGAGTATAAAATTCTAGACGGGCGGTATTATCTTTCAGCTCATTAAGGATACCATTCTCCTGTTTTCTATTGTTGGTCTTATTGCTATTGCTTTGAAGATAATCTTTTTCCCTAGCTGCTTTTAAGCTCTTCTTTTCTGATGTTCTCCAATTTCATTATGTTGTATTTTATTTTCCTTAGCCTCCACAGCTCTGCGACATTGATTTTCATCAATACTAGAAAGTTCTCAGCCATTATCTTTCACATATTGCTTCTGACCATTTTTTTTCTCTTTTCTCTCCCGAAACTTCAGTTAGACCATTTGAATCTTCTCACCCTGTCCTCCACGTCTCTTAACCTTTTTTCTTGTTTCCCATCTCTGTTTCCAGGCTGCAATCTGGATTTCTTCTAAGCTATATGGTTCACTAATTCCAAATATAGCAGTGTCTGATTTGCTGTTAAACGTGTCTATTACTGTATTGATTCCTTTCTAGATGCTCATTTTGTTGCTTTTCTAAATCTGGTAGATGAAATTTTTTAGATTTCTTTCCTGTTGGTGATTGTGGTTTCCCATGGACAGGATTTCCTCTTTTTTCCCCCTACTCTCTTCATTGCCAGCATGGCACTCTGTGTGGTACCCTGAGTTGGGGGTGGACTAAGGAGTTCACTTCTCACTCACTCTTACTCTGATGCTGTGACTACTGCATGGGGTCCTAACTGCATGGGGTCTTCCTAAGGCAGTATGAGGGAAAGGCAAGAAACCCACTCCCCAGACCTGTCTTCACACTGCCAGCCTGCCACCCTCCTCCTCAGATGGCAACCCTTCTCTAGATTACAAATTTACAATATAGCCTGCAGTCTCTGGGGTTTGCTTCCAGAGCTTAGTGTGTTAGTGCCTCAGATCTGGGCTTCCCTCTCTGTTACTGTTTCCTCTGGGTTGACCTTGGAGGAGGGGCCAGCAGCCCCTGATGCCCTCTTGCTTCAGCATCTTTGTACAGAAGGTGTGTCAACTTTTAGATACGCCTTAGAGTCATGTCTCAGGTTTATGGGGGCAACAAGGTGATTTGAGGAGTGTTTCTGACTTATCCACAGGGAGGCAGATTTCTTCCTGATACATTTTAAAAATGTTTTGTATTTTCTTTTCATTCAGTGCTCTGGCTGATGAAGCCATGGGGAAGAAAGTCTTGCACATTCCCTACAGAGACTCTGTTCTGACCAAACTGCTCCAGTCAGCTCTGGGTGGGAACAGCAGAACCACTCTGGTAAAAATGACTTTCTTGCCACATTTCAGACGGTTTAGACCAATGCAGCTACTATTACTATTGTTGCTGTCATTTGCATTATTCTCCGCGGGCCACTAACACAGCCCCCAGCACTGACATAGCACATTCTTACCTATTAATCCATGGCTCCTGAAGCTCTTCCTACGATGATGTTCAAAGAAAGTTTCTGTTTTGCTAATTTTGGCATTTCATTTATTCTCTTCTGTAGTTTTCAGATTCTCTACAAGGAACATACATTACTTGCATTATTAGGAAAAAGCTAATACAGTTTTAAAAATAATACCATGTCATGTTATTCTAGATCAGTCTTTCCTTGGCAAGACTGGAAGTCAGTTTGACTGTTTTAGACACAAGGCAGGTGTTTAACCTGGAAAGTAGCTAAGTCATGTCATCTCAGCAAAGACTCCAGACCTGGCTGCTGAATGTTTGCCAGGCAGGTACAGAGCTCAGTGTGTTAAATTGGGGCGCTGTGCTCTTCAGCTTTGGGTGTAGGAAGGAGCAAAACTGGGTGGGCTCTGCCTTCAGCCTCATCCTGGCCTCCAGTCTATTGTCCTGGTCAGGAGAGGAATGCTCGTCGCTGGACCTGTTATGTGCACCTCTCTCCAAAATGTGCTGGACAACACATCCTTACTCTCTATCATTATTCTGTTTTTAAATATTTTATTTTAAAGTTTTTCTGGTTGTCAGTACCATGGGCCTCCTTGGGACATCCCCCAAGAGGCTGGAATGAGAGAAGGCCCATAAGACACCTTTGAACATTAAACTATAAAATCAAATCTAACGGGCCTGAGCAGACATGGGCAAGGTCGCCTGAGACAGAGGATGACTTGCAGGTCTTCCTTGGCTGAGGTGTTATGATGCTTTAACAAAAAATATGTGGTGGGTAGGAGGCTGGGGGAGTGGTCACTGATTATCTCAGGAGGCAAATGAATCCACAAAGCCAGCGTCCAAGCTCTAGAGTTTCCATGGCTCCAATCCCAGTGTCCTCACACTTACCATGAAAACTCCTTTTCTTCCTTCCTAAAGTGGAGATAACAATATCCCCTTGAAAACAGTGCTCTGATGATTAGATGAGGTGGTATAATGAACAAGCTTTAAAAGCTGCAAAGATAAAGGATTAGTCACAGGCCCTTGTGCGCCCCGGATTGTGGCCTCCAGGTCCAGAGGTTAGGAGCTGCCACGTGGGCAGTCACGTTCCCTCCTATTCACCCTCCGGGACCCTGCCCACCTCCAGTTCATCAAGAAGTTTGTTTTCTCATTTGAATTATAGAACAACTAAGCCAAAGCCAATAGCCGGACTTGAACCCATGCTAGTGGCTACCCGCTAATGAGCAACGTTGACTGGTCTCCGCAGTGCTAAGGTCAAGGGTCATTTAAATCCCCAAGGACATCTGCTGGGGACCCAGTGCTGAGGGCAGCGCCGTACAGAGCTTACAGCACAGGTGTTCAAGTCAGGGCTGGTCCAGGTCCCAGCTCTGCCAGCTCTTATCTGGGGGACCTTGGCACATTACTCTTCCCTAAGCCTCAGCTTCTGAGTTGTAAAGTTTAAACAATACCACAAATTACAAGATGTTCTATGAATGTGAGCTGTGGAATATCAACAATGATAGCTATAAACCCCTAAATGAAAGACAAAATCTGAAAAGGATATTTACTTTTTTACAGATAGCAGCCATAAGTCCAGCTGACATCTGTTACGAAGAAACTTTATCCACATTAAGATATGCTGAAAGGTACGTTTACGGACACTTATCATCCACAGTGGTTCTCAGTCCTGAATCTGGCAAATCCTTCTAGGACCCTTACATCTGATGGTGTTTTGGAAAGGCGTCCAGGAGAAAGCAGAACAAAATGATTTGGGAGAAAAGACTGAGAGAAAAATAAAACGAATAAGAGGGGATAGACCTGGGGGCTGAGGGTCTGCCTAAGCCTGTCATTCCCTCTCTCCAGTGCTGGATGGGGGTGGGGGGAGCCGGGGGCTCAGGTCCGTGGGAGGAAGCATTGATCCCAACCATGATGTGGTTAGTTACCCGTCTCCCCGTGTCTTCCTGACAAATAGCATGGCCGTTCACAGATTCTCCTTCTATCACATGAGTAGAAAATAGTGACAGGCAGGGAATTTTTGTGCTAATAATGGAGAAAGATGAGCCTGTAAGAGGCACTGCTGAAGGGGAGTACCCGCCACCAGCTCTGCAGCTTTCCCCGTGTCGGTTCTCCTTTCTCTAGGCTCAACGTGGCGGATTATACTCCTTGGAGGAGGCCTTCAGGTCACAGGCATCTCCTCCTAGGGAGAGTCTATCACTGCAGGCTCCTGGCCCTAGAAACAAGCTCACACAGTTAGCTCTGGCAGGAGGCTGTGGTCGAGGTCCTGCTTTTCAAGGCAGGAGCCTGCTCCTCCTGACCCTTCTAGGGAGGTGAGGGTCTGGGGAAAGGGAGCCTCTAACCAGAGGTGGAAACCACATGCCCCCACCGCCCCTCCACCCCGTTGGCACGGCAGACATTGAGAATCCACCACAGTGGGGTTCCCAGGATCTTGGACTCTCAGCCTGCGTTCCAGGCAGCTGGAGCTGTCCTGTGACAAGAACTTAGTTCCTTTTCTAATGCATCACTCATCAGGCCTACGGGCCTGTGTGTTTTACAGTCTAGTCCTGCCTGAGATGGGACCTGAACCTCCCTGCCCATCAGTTACTTCACACGCTGAAGGAAATGTTACCTCACTCACAGAGCTGGGCCGAAGACCCTCTAAGATCATTCATGATCTGTTCCTGGCAAAGTTCTGCCTGGCATGTGGCTGAAGCTCAAAAACGATAGTTGTTATGATGCCCCCAAGCAATTGCCTGTCCTTCTGGTCTTTCCTTGGCTTCTTCTCAGGGAGAGGCCCTCACATTGTAGTGACAAACACCTGCATCTGTACCAAAGACTCAGATCTTAAGGCTTCTGTCTTTAGGAACATTGTCTTTAGAAATATTTAGAATGTTCATTTTCTCTTATCAGATGCAAATCTCTTGCTAGTAGTTTTTACGTAAGAGACTGCGTGATGCAGAGAAAGGAGACAATGGTACCCAGGGGCCCTGGGCTCGCAGTCCTGGATTTGCCATGGACGGTGTGACTTGAGGCAAGCCTTGAAAACCCTCTGTTCCTCAGTGAAAGGAATAAGGTTGCCAAAATTAGCAAATAAAAATATAGGATGCCCACGGGAGGGGATATAGCTCAAGTGCTAGAGTTCAATCCTGCGTTCAATCCCCAGTACTTCCTCTAAAAATAAATAAATAAATAAACCTAATTACCTCACACACCCCACCCCAAATACAGGATGCCCAGTTAACTTTGAATTTCAGTTAAAGAGCAATGTTTTAGCATAAGTTCGTGCCATGCAGCACTAGACAGGAGTGAACCAGGTAACTTCTAAGCCCACTCCTGGCCTAGTGCACAACACAGAGCGGTCCCCTCCAGGTGTGTGTTCTTACAGCAGCAGCAGCGGTTGAACAGATTTTTTTCATTAACCAAGTCAGCCCAGCTGGCTGAGTGTGTTCAGGGCCCAGGACATGTTAGGGGCAGGGCTCTGGGCTTTAAACATGAGCTGAGCTGCTCATGTTTGTTTGAACCATGGAAGTCACTGAAGTCTCTTTTGGTCTTAATGGTTTACTGGAACCTGACATGATGGAATCTCGAATCACTTGGGGTGAAAGGCTCCCCCTTTGACCATTTGAGACCAGAGCCCAGTTTCTGGCCAGAGCTCTGGTGGTGCTGCTCCAACTGCAGAAGGTCCAGGGCCTGAGTGTGTGTCCACTTCTGCAAAGGGCTAAGAAGATCCAGAACAAAGCCACGGTCAACACCTCAGCCCTGCTGAGAGAGTCCAGGACAGAGAACAAGCTGCTACTCGGATGTGGAAACTGCAGAATGGCAGGTAAACTGTCAGTGCAGGTGCAAGCCAGCAGCCAGGAGGCTGGGAGCAGGAGGAGGGAGGGGACGTGGCCAGCCCCGGGCTCAGCAAGGGGGCTGAGGGCCAAGCCCAGGTTAGAGTCTGAGGCGAGCTCTAGGGCAGGCTGGGGTGCCCCTGGGCCTTGTCCAGGACATTTTGGCCTGAATGTAGAGCCACATGTAGTCATAAGAATGATGGTCATAAAACAAAACCAAAAGCAAAGAAATAATGGTCCTGTCCTTTTTAAATGGTCACTTTAGTCTCATTTTTTATTGCCATTTTTATTTGGAGGCTAAGGTCTCCACCGAGACTACTTTTTCCCTTACCAGGTTTTGGTGGTGGCCGTATGGCATCTATTTTGCTGATGGCCTCGTGCAGTTAAGTGGTGTTTGGAGACCAAGGAGCATTAGCCCCAGCACCCCCTTCTAAGACTGTGCTCAGCCTTGGCTGCACATTAGGATCACCTGGTGACTGGGTCCTCCAGGGACCAATTAATCCATCCCTGGGGCAGCAGCAACGCTTAAAGTGCCCACCTTAGGGTGGCTCCACTGTGCAATTGTGGATAAACACTGCTTTGAGTCAAGGCCTTACATTTCAGTGTGGCAGCGTGAGGTGTGTATAATTTTACATCCCTTAATAGCTTAGAATGAGATAGATAAATAGGGCAAAATATGAAACTGTTGCAGTTGAATTGGTAAGTGTTCAGCCTCAGTCAGCCACACCGGCAGGTCCCAAGCCCTGCACTCAGTGCTCTTAGCAGACTATGACCCCACCATCACCATCTTGCCCTTGGTATCAATTCCCCTCCCCGACAGGGGCTCCCTGGTGGTGGCGGCACTTCCCAACCCAAACACAGTCCTGCACGCACACACCTGGCTGTCTGCATGGGTGCCTCATCTTTGACATTGCAGACCTTAAACTGTTGCTTAAAATAGCTCCCTCCTTTCAGAGCTGCCAGCCTGTCTGCTGGCGGAGCAGGGGCTCGGGCCTCCCACTAGTCCGATGACCTGGGCGCGCCAGCTGGAGCAGGCTCGGAGGGAATGGCAGCAGCACTACGTGGCCATTGCCCAGGTGAGCTCACTGCCTCCACCTGCCGAGGCCGACGACCTTGCACCTTACCCAGATGCACTGATGCCTGGGCTGCTGTCGGGTGGATAATCGGGGCGAGGTGTGAAATGTATAGCATGTGAATGTGACATGTGATATGTGATGTATGACTTTAAATTACTGGCAGAGTTGCGGGGAGAGACGGCAAGGCATGAAAGGAAAGAAAGCGGAGAGCCCTTGCTGTGTCTTGGTGAATGAGGCTGAGGAGAGAATTCAAAGCTGTTGATAATTAGAGTTTGGGGAGAATTTGAGGAATATGATTATCTTCTGGGGACTGTGAGTTGTGACCCTGAACCACATATCTATCCTGGCATTCACTGCCAATTCCAGATCATAAATGGGCTGTGAGGTGAACTCCATACCTGGGTCAGAGAGATACCCTCTCTGCCTCCCTTCTGCACCACACCTCCCATGACCTTACTCCCCAAAGCCACGAGGCCCTGGACAAAATCCAAAGTCGTGGGCCAGCCCTGGAGGACTTTAGGAGTGGTGGGGGGTGTCCAGTCCAGATTCTGAAAGGCTCATGAAGCCGGAATAGATGTGAGCCTCCGGCGGTAGGAGAGGAGTTGGGTGGAGGTCTGTGACAGCAGGGGGCCAGGTTAAGTTAGGGCCCAAGGATTCCAGAGGTGTGGGTGTAACACGGCTGCACACAGCTGCGAGAAGCACCAAGAAAGTAGCATCCTATGTAAGGAGTACCTGGGTTTGCAACTCGGTGCAAGAGTCAAGTAGGATCCAGAGTGAAGGACCCAGGGCTCTGTTCTGTATGGACAGTTAGAACCAGAAGGACTTTCCTCCTCTTCGCTCTGTATCAGAACTTCAGGATTTAAAAGCTTTCCCTGTGCCTGCACAGTTTATTCCAGTTCCTCTATGACCACAATACCCATCAGTACCTGTAATTCAAGAAGGAAATGCATTTGAGTATCCAGGAGAGGGTGAAGCAACAGGCCACATTTTGCCATCAACATCTGATGCGCGATGAGCTATACAGAGCACTTGGGGAATGAGCTGTAAGGAAACTGGTTTAGTGGAGTCAGGGAAGGATTACCCAGGTCGGGCACCAGGATCCTGACAGCTGGGGACTCTGGGAGCCTAGAGAAACGACACGGGTAGAAGCCAAGGTGGAGGGGACCTTATGAGGGCAGCTGGGAAGGGTGAACAGTCAGAAACCAGCCGTGTTTTGCAACAGTCCTGACGGGGTGAACTCAGGCCCCAACCACTGACTTGCCAGGATCTCACCCCATCTGTCAGCAAAGCCCCCGGTTACACTTTCCTCCACTGGGTTTGCTTTACCAGATGATAGAACAGGATGCAGAGACAGATGGCTTTGAGGAGCAGTGGGTAGGAGAGGAACATTGCCCTCTCGGGTGTGCCCCCCTGTCTGGTGAGGAAACCCTCTCTCTTCCTCCTTCAGGAGCAGCAGATGATGAAGAGCTTCCCTCATCTTCTCAACGTCAATGAAGACCCGCAGCTCACTGGGGTTCTCAAGTACTTCATTCAGGCTGGTACTCACCCCTCTTACTGCTCTGATCCTGCTCATGCCTCTTGGCCCCTGAGCATGTTTCTTTTTCTTCTTAATTTTTTTTTGGGGGGTGATAAAATATACATAAGAGAAGATTCACTCTGTTAACCATTTTTAAAATGTACAAATCAGTGGCATTAAGTGCACTCACATTATTGTGCAACCATCACCCCCAGCCATCTCCAGGTCATTTTTATCTTCCCAAACTGAAACTCTGTCCCCATTATGCAATGATGCCCCCATTAGCCCCTCCCCTGGCCACCACCATTCTACTTCTTGTCTCTATGAATTTGACTGTTTCAGGTACTTTTGTGTAAGTGAAATCACACAGTATTTGTCCTTTTGTGTCTGACTTATTTCACTCAGCATAATATCCTCCAGGCTTATCCATTATTGTCACATGTGTCAGGATTTCCTCCCATTCTAAGGCTGAATAATGTTCCACTGTATGTATAGACCACGTTTTGTTTCTCTATTCATCCACTGGAAAAGGGCACCAGTATTTAGTAACAGCTGGCTTTCCCACCCTAGCCCTGTGAACATTCAAGACAGGAGAGGCTCGTGCAGGATGGCATTTGGGGCTGGAGGAGGGGCAGCGTCTGTGGAGCTGGGGTGATGCTCCCAGCACTGACCTTGGGGTCAGTCACTGGACAGAAGCAGAGCTTCACAGACCAGGACCTTCCCTGTGGCCAAGCTACAGCACATCTCAGAAGGCTCAGACGCAACAGCTTCTTCCTCCAGAATTTCCATAAAGAAGGCAGAACTTTAAAAAAGTTAGGAATATCATTTTAAAAATGCAGAAAGTAAAACAGTTCTCCCTAAGGCAAGCTGATGTCCAAGTACCATCATGGTTGAAAATCACAGTGGGAAAATCCCTTCACGTGATCCAACTGGAGAGGAAATGGTATTTCTGAAACATCAGACGTGTTAACTTGTTAAGGTCAAATCCTGAAAAATTTTGAACATAACTTATCCTAATTCTTTCAGGTTCATGTGATGCTGGTCAGGCTGCTTCAAATGCCATCACCCTTCAAGGTTTGGGGTAAGTTGCCAGGACCCAGCGCCTTTGTCCAGCATGGGAGAATTGTGGCCACTCAATCCAGAGGAGACTCAGGATTCACCTAGTCATCGTCGGGCCAGACCACGAACCCTGCTAGATAAGCAAGAACAAGAAAGTACCGCTCCTTCCTTGGGGCCACTCTAACATGCTTATGGGAAGCCCTGGGAAGGGCTTTCATTCTCTCACTGAAAGCCCTTCTGCTGCGCTCACTTTGTTTCCTTGGCTCTGACCTTGGGAGAAAGGGACACATTCTCACAAATGAGCATGGCTAGATCGGGCAGGAAGTGAAGAGAGCTGGGAGGACAGGCCCACTACGGGCAGCCCACGCCCTTCATGGTCCCACCGCCAGCAGCAAAAGCATCCTGAGGGGGCTGTGCTCGGAGCCCTCGCCCACCAGACTAACGCAAGACTTTGCTGATCCTCTCCCTGAGGGCCCCGCGGGACCTCCTGCAGGAGCCCCTGTGGGACCCCAAGGCCGGTTTATAAACTCAGAGCAGGACCCCACCTCTGTGGCCTCTCTCCTGGGGAGGCCGCTGCTCCAGGGTTCTCTCCCTGCTTCCAGGACTTACAGATTTTCAGCCAATAGTCTCCATCAGCCCCTGCAGAGAGAGGCCTTGCCAACCAGGCTCCCTGACACCCCTCAGCCCTGCTTGGCCCACCTGGGCCCTTGAGGGGGTGTGTGTGTGTGCGCGTGTGCGCGCTCACGCGTGTGGGGAGAGTGCTGACCAAGGGGCTGGTCGGGCCTAACTACCCCCTCCCCCACCGGCCTCCAGGCCCTGATTCTTCCTGGGGGTCCTGTCATCTCCCTTCCAGACCACCTCCTGGGGACACTCTAGTCTAACACATAGGTCTGGAAATGGCTGAACTCCAGGTGAGCTGAGGTTAAAACCTTCCCCACAGGATCCCTGGGCCTCAAGCAAACAGGGCTGTGAATGAACGTGTATCTCAACGTCCAGAACATTCCACAATAGCCAAGGAGTCCAGGAACATTGTAGAACAGTTGGGAAGCCGGTCATTCAGGGCACAGAGATGACTTTGTTGGGCAGCAATCTGACACCTCTGATATCTGGCCCAAATCTTGTAACGTCTGAAGTCGGGATTTGTAGAGATAAAGACCGAGAAAGGACCTAAACTTGTCTGCAATACGTAGGCTTGTTATTAAGTCACCTTCCCAAGCATCTCTTCTGAAACACTTTTCCTTTCATTTCCTCTCCACTCAATCCCACCAGCTGTGAGCTTCTGAGGACTCTGGCATCTCCTGGCTTCTCTCAGCTATGGGCACGAGGTGTTGCAACATTCTACTGATAGAACAATTGCTTTGTTGTCTCCTCACTCCAGCGAGGGTCCCTCTCCATCCCCACCCACTGAGCACTCCAGGCAGGAGAGGCTCATGCAGGATGGCAGTGGGGGCTGGAGGAGGGGCAGCCTGCATGGAGCTGGGGTGATGCTCCCAGCACTGTCCTTGGGGTGAGTCACTGGACAGAAGCAGCTTCACAGACCAGGCTTCAGCCCATCTCCCACAGTGCTTCCTCGACAGCTATAGGCCTTTCCTAATTGTGCAAGTGAGAAAGAACGAATTCTACTGCTCACTAAAATCGTAATGTATTTGGTCCCTTAGATACATTCTTGTCCTTTTAGAATTTCAGATAAACATGCTTCCTTCACGAATTTGGATGGTAAAGTGACGGTGACTCCACACAGCAAGTGCAAGGTCGTCGTTAATGGGGTGCCCATCACAACCAAGACGAAGCTGCAGCACTTGGTAAACTCCCCTGCTGAGCCACAGGATTTCCTAAATCCAACCAAGAGAGGTGCAGTGAGGGCCGGCAGGGCAGGGCGCTAATGCCCTGCTGTCCCTCCACTGCCGTGTCACAGTAATGACAAGGCCACAGCTGTAAAGTCAGGATACTTCATATTAGCTGGCCCTGTGTCCTGCGGAAGTCATTTCACCTCCCTGGCCTGGCCTATGAAACAGAGAGGGGTGAACTAGGTGATTGCCAGGATTCTTCCAGCTCTAACCGGGTATGACATTTTGGATTTTTAAAACCTGCTGTTGAGAGGGACTGTCAGCACCTGCCATCATCGGGCTCTCCCCACCTCCTCCCACCACCCCGGCCCGAGTCCCAGCACCACAGGGGCTCCGGTCTCTTCTCCACCCCGTGGCCACTGCGAGCCTCTTAGACAGACAAGCATATTGGATCAGGCCACACCCACTTCTGGAGATCCTTCTGTGACCTCCCTTTTAGGACATCTGTCTCCTGCCTCTCTGGCCTCACTGCCCGGGCTTCCCTTGGTCACTCGACCTTTTGGATGCTCAAAATGTCCCAGGTTTTGGTGGGCAGCTGCCTTCTCTGCCTCAACAGAACTTAGCACACTTGAAGTGTCACCTTAAATAGTGTACCTTCCAAGAAGTCTTCTCTAGTCCCCACTGTAAATTAGGCCCCATAGACTCTGCAGAAACAGCGCCTTTTTCCTTTTAAATCATGAGACCTTGTGAATCACAGGCTGTGATTTCATCATTAGTTTATCAAGTCCTGGAGCGAGGGTCTGTCTGGTCCCCGCTGACTGCCAGTGCCTGACAGAGTGTGAAACAGAGGAAGCAGTCAATGAAAGCACGCATGAAAAAGCAAGGGGCTACCCCTTCCCTCTTTGTTTATGGGTCTCTTCTCTGTAGGGGGCATTCACAGGGTCTCACGATTTAACACAGACGAGCAGGCTGAGCGCTGCTCCGGCCTCCTCCCTTTGAGCCGCCTGTCTCCTCCCTAGGACCGAATTATTTTGGGATCCAACAGCGCCTACCTCTACATCGGGCTTCCTTCAGAGCGAGGTGGAGAGGACCTGAGCAGATATGATTATGACTTCTTCCAGCTGGAGAGGGCGGCTGCGGAGGGAGTGAGTGTGGACAAGCTCGGTAAGCGGGGGCCCCCGACTCCTGGCATTTTCCACGGGCTGATGTGAAAGCAGCTGCTTTTCTTAAGGACGTAATCTTTCATTGTGTCATAATACAGTGTTTAGAAAGTTAAGATATGATTTCCATACAGATACAGAGTGGGCATATGTCAAAGATTTGTTTAATTCATAAAACTGTTTCCCTCATGGGTGTGGGTCCAGGAGTAGAGAGGAGAGTGGTAGGTACAGCACAGGGAGAGAAGAACATTGGAAGGGGACTGCTGGGTTTGGCAGAGCTAGTCAGTGCCTTCAGGGCAATACTCTTCACTGGATGAGAATTCATTTCAACTTCCAATCTTGTATAAATTAACATCTGAGAGCTCCGAGTCTGGTCCTAAGTGGTAAGTAGTGAGTGACCCTGTGTCCTCTGTGTTCCAGATCTAGCAGGCACTTGTCTGCACACATCTTACTGAGGTCTTGGCAACGTCTTACACAGTTGAGTCCTCTCTCCTTTTTGAAAGCTTTAACTCTGGGAACCATATATTCTCCTCGTTTTCTTCTTCTAGGCCACTTCTTCCACATTCCCTCTCCTGGATCCTCCTCATCTAACTAACCTTGAAATTTTGAGAGCCCCAGAGCTTGGACCTTGGCACTCTTCTCTAGATGGATGCTTTCCCCACGTCGCTGCCAGGCTCAGTGGTTCTAAGTGCTATCTATGCTAACAGCTCTCGGCTCCACTTGATACCTCTTGATACCTCAATCCAGCTGCCTTCTTGATGTCTCTGCTTGCATGACTCACAGGCATCTCAACATGAAAGGGTCCAAAACAGAGTCTTGATTCCTCACTGACTCCAAGACTGTTCTCATACCCAGGACTTTTCATCTTGGCAAACTGCTCAAGCCAAACACCTAGGCCTCCTCCTTCCCCTCACTTCTTCACCCAGCCTGCCTCTTCTCCATCCTCCTGTGCCACCGCTTCAGTGCAGGCCATCCTCGTCTCTTGCCTGAACTGTATAATCACCTCTGAACTTATCAGATCATGATACTCTTGGGCTGAAAAATATTCATCAAATTCTCAGTGTTCTTAGAATAAAATCCAAACTCCTTACCATGGTCTTGAAGGCCCTGGATGATCAACCACGTGCTTTCTCTTCAGCCTCGTTTGATATCACTCTCTACTCACCGTGCTTTGAACCTCACTGATATACTTTCTGCCCCTCAAATATACCAAGCCCTTTCTGCCTCAGGGCCTTTGAACATGCTGCTTGTTTTTCTTTGCATCTTTGGCTCATTCTCATCTTCCATCTCTCAGTTCAAATATTACCTCCACAGATAGATCTTCCTTTTTCTTGGCTTTGTTTCCTCCTTCTTGTTTAACTATTTCTTTCATAGCATTTTTAACATTTAAAATTTTATTTATTAGTTTGCCCTCATGAGACTATAAGCTCAAACTGAGATTTTTTTTCTCTTGTTCATCCACTCATTTATATATTCCTCCACTCAACAAGTATTTACTGAGCTCCTACTATGTGTCAGGTATGGTCCTAAGCCCTGGGGATCCAGCAATGAGCAAAGCAGGGCTCTGTCCTTACAGAGCTGACGAGAGCACATTCCCTTCTGAATCCCCAGAGCCTGATAGCAGCCTAGCAGTGGGCCCTCAGTAAATACTTGTTGAATGAATGACAAATGAGATTAACCAAATCAGCCCCCCAACAGAAGCTTAGTTGAGCACACGTGCATGGTTGAGGGCCCAAACATGGACACATTCTGCTCTTTTCTGAGAGCAGCCCACCCAGGAAGCCCATGCCCTGGACATCAGGTTCCTCCCAGGGCGGGGCAGGCAGGGGTCTGTGCTCCCCACTCACCCCCTAGCCCTGCCCAGGGGCCTTCTGGGCCTACACAAGCTGTGGCCCAGCAGCTAGATGCTGACTGGGAGCCTTTAGAGACAGTGATAAACAAAATCCAGACCCTGGTCTGGAAGAAATTATAGCCCTAGTTTTCTGAGTCAAAGATTCCCCTCGTCCTCTCAGCCACCCTCCATGCCCCAGCAACAGCCTGGGACTTGCCGTGCACAAGAGCATTCAGCCGCTCTGGCATCCCCCTTGTCCATCTCTTCCCTCGCCTCAGATGAGGCTCGACCACCTTCCCTCCCCTCCCATCCCCAGGCCTCAGCTCACCTCCCTCAGAGGAGGCTGGGGTATTGGGGCCCCCAGAAGCCAGATGAGCTTGGGCTCCACCAAGGCCTCAACACTGTGCTGGGCTACCTGTGCTCTTCTCAAGCCACACGGGTCCTGCCTGGTCTCGCCTTAATAAACCCATGGGTGGGGAGCCATGGGCTGCACCTACATATCAGCAAAATATCTCCTCCCTTTTTCCTACCCCAAAGACTGTTCCTCAGAATTTTAGCAGAATAAATTGGTTTGAAATTCACCTCCTTGTTTATTATTTTCTTCAAGTTCCTGACCAAAACTAAACAGGACTCCATTATACCAAGCCTGGATACCCTATCTGTTCATTTATTTATTCACAAGGCTGACTGCACACCTGCCTTCCAGCCCAGCGCTGGCAGTGCAATGAGGCTGAACAAGCCCCAGACACTGCGTAGAAGGTGCTCAGCACCAGCACAGAGGGTGGGCCTTCAGCAAGGTGGCCGGTGGGCAGTTCAGGGGAGTCAGACTGCGGGGCAGGAACTCCCTGAAGAGATGAGAGTTCCTGACATGAGGCTGCACCAACCGAGGTCTGGCAGGGAATTCATTCACCCATCATCTCCACAAACCCCTCCTCTAAGCCACCCCAAATAGAACAGAAGTGACAATGGGTTGTCCCTGCGCCAGCTGTGGCTCCAGGAGAAATCCTCAGATTTCCTTTAGCCAGCTGTACCCTACCTGCCCCACCTCCTCCCTGCACAGCCCAGAGCCACCTTGGGTCAAGGGCCCTGAGACCCAGAGTGGAACTCGAAAGCAGAGCACCTCCTGTCATGATGCTGCTGAGAGTCACGGGTTGAGACTAGCAACTACTTAAGTAAAGTCAGGCAGTGTCCTTCCCTCCCCACTTATTTAGCTTTCTTCTTCTTCTTTTCATTTACATGTTTATAATTTCAAATGTAGATATATGATGAACAACTGAATAAATGACTGAATGAAGGACCAATGAGCATGTGTATTTTTTCGTGGCTGGAAAGTATCCCAGAACCACTGAGTGACTTTCCCTTCCTCTCTGATCTGTCCTAGGTGCTGTGCACAATGGGGCTGGGAAGGCAGACCCCAGTGTCCTGGCTGTGTTCCAGGACTACATCAAACTGATGCCACTGGTTGCAGAAGCAAATCAAATGAGTGAAGAGCTGAGGAAAGTGAGTAAATGGTAAAATCTCTGCTCCAGAACGTGCCCCTCACTCCCATTGCCCCAAACTGGCTTTATAGTGTAGACAAGACCCACAGGCTTGGAGAGGCAAGGTGCTTTGCCCGATACCCCACAGTGAGCTAGTGACAGAACCTCAGCCGGCACCCGGGCCCCCAGTCCCAGCCTTGAGTCTAGTCCTCCCATCTTTGGCCCCACGGCTCCCAGGACCACCAGGACGCCAGACCAGTACTTGCTCACCATGGCCATCCCATCCTGGGTCATCCTCCAGAGGCCATCTGGGTGCAGGCACCCTGATGGCTTCTCGCCAGAGAGAAGCTTGGGTTGGAGTTAGATCCCTTATGGTCAGGGATCTTGCATAAGACTCAGTCACTCTGGTGAGGCTACAAGTGTTAGTTCCAGGATATTGTTGAGAAATCCCAGGTAGTTTGTCATTTCTCTCGGTGGGAATTCCAAGGAGCAAGAGTTGATCCATTTTCTTTTAGAAAGTCAGATGCATTCGTCTTTTAGAAAGCCTGAGGGTGGAGAAGAATGAAAAATAAATTGCAAAGATGGTATAGGCTGATAAATGTAGGATTATTTAGTGAGAAGTGTTTTTCTTACCAGGGACTTAAAATGGAGTTGAAAGTGAAGAACTTAGCGTCGTCAGATTCCAGGGGCTGTGACCTACAAAAAGAGGTCATGGTGAAGGTGACCAGCCAAAGGACTCGTGAGGTAAGGCTGCCCCGGAGGCGGGCGTGAGCCTCTCCAAGGGGTTTCCCAGGACCCTTCCCAGGGACACAGGTTAGTTTTACCGGGGCAGCTTGTGGCGACCCAGCGAAGGCACAAGACAGGTTCCACGTGTGGGTGGGATGTGGGGGGGACAGACTCTGGGGAGAGGAGGCCTCTCCTCTGCGTCTCCCCTCCTGGGCCTCTCTCCCACACAGCACCACCACCTGGGATCTTCCCCCCACAAAGGCAGTGAACGCTTCCTGTTTATTTTTATCGTGACTCCAAACTTTAGTACCAGAATGGAGCCTGAAGGTGTGTCCAGCTGATAACAGTGTCCGTGTGTGTGCCCGAGAGAGACAGCGGCCGTTCTGAAGCAAAGGGAAAACCACATTTTCATTTAGACTCCAGAGGCTGTTTCATAAACTCCACTGGCTGGTCCTTCCCATGTTTGACACTGCTCACTGTTAGGAAGCTCCTTCTTAAGCTCTTAAGACCCGTTTCCTCTCCGTCTGCCTAACAAAAGAGGGGGCCTATAGCTGGTGTCCCTTATGTGTGTTATGCCTTCGGAGCAGCCCTCCAGCCAAATGCTCACTCCTAGTGCATCTTCAGAGGATGTGCCCCTGATTCTCAGGTGACCTTTGGGTGGGCTGCTCCCTCCCAAATTCTCAGTGCACGTGTGCCTCCTTAGCAGTGAGTCTTGTAGCAAACATGCCACTGGAGGAGGGGCTGGCTGTGACAGGGGACTTTTTGGTCACTGGATGATCTGCTCTACTGAGCAACTAACTGATGCTTCTCTGGGTTTAACTTTTCTGCTCATTGCCCTAAAGTTGCCAAAATTTTCTGGGTCAAGACCAGTCTTTAAAAACTTTAAAAACTTGTGAAATATGACAAACAGAGAAAAGGTTATGAATATATATATGTTCACATGGTAAACGCTTGAGTACTCACCAGCCAGTTCAAGGGGCTCTGTGTCTGCCAGGTGCTGGGGACACCAAGACCGCCGCTCATGTTTCACTGGCCCTGGGCTGTGGGGACCCAGGAGACAAACCTGAGCAAGGCCGTTTCTGAGCCACAACTCCTGAGATTCTTGTCCTTTTCTCCTCCTCTGACCAGCACCAAGCTGGCCTCCTCTCATTCAGTAGGTTGTCTTTTTGTTTTGTTGATGGTTTTCTTTGCTGTGCAAAAGCTTGTAAGTTTAATTAGGTCCCGTTGGTTTGTTTTTGATTTTCTTTTGCTTAGGAGATAGAGCCAAAAAAATATTGCTATGATTTATGTCAAAGAGTATCCTGCCTATGTTTTCTTCCAGGAGTTTTATGGTTTCAGGACTTACATTTAGGTCTTTAATCCATTTTGAGTTTGTTTTGTAGAGAAAATGTCCTAATTTCCTTCTTTTACATGTACTATTCAGTTTTCCCAGCACCACTTACTGAAGAGACTGTCTTTTCTCCACGGTATGCTTTCGCCTCCTTTGTTGTAGATCAGCTGAACACAGGTGTGTGGGTTTCTTTCTCGGCTCTCTATCTGTTCCATTGAACTGTGTGTCTGTTTTTGTGCCAGTTCCATAGTGTTTGATTACTGTCGCTTTGCAGTATAGTCTGAAGTCAGGGAGTGTGATACTTCCGTCTTTGTTCTTTCTTCTCAAGATAGCTTTGGCAATTTGGGGTCTTTTGTGGTTCCACATAAATTTTAGGATTGTTTTTTCTAGTTCTGTAAAAATGTCATGGTATTTTGATAGGGATTGCATTGAGTCTGTAGATTGCTTTGGGTAGTCTGGACTTTTTAACCATATTAATTCTTCCAATCGATAAACATGGAATGTTTCCATTTCTTTAAATCATCTTCAGTTTCCTTCATCAACATTTTACAGCTTTCAGAGTATAGGTCTTTTACCTCCTTGGTTCATTCCTAGGTATTTTATTCTCCTTTATGCAATTATAAATGGGATTGTTTTCTTGAATTCTCCTTCTGGTAGTTATTAGTTTATAGAAAAGCAACAGATTTCTGTCTATCAACCTTGTATCTGGCAACTTTACTAAATCCATTTACTAGTGCTAATATTTTCTTGGTGGAGACTTCATGGTTTTCTATATATCAAATTATGTCATCTGCAAATAGTGAGTTTTACATCTTCCCTTCCAATGTGAATGCCTTTTACTTCTTTTTCTTGTCTGACTGCTGTGACTAGGACTTCCAATACTGTTAAGTAGAGGTGGTTAACAGTGGGTATCCTCATCTTGTTCCTGATTTTAGAGGAAAGGCTTTCAACTTTTCACCATTGAGTATGATGTTAGCTGTGGGTTTGTCATAAATGGCATTTATTATGTTGAGATAAGTTCCCTCCATACCCACTTTAATGAGAATTTTTATCATAAATGTAGAACTGATTTAGTGGTGCTGAATTCTTTTAGCTTTTGCTTGTCTGTAAAACTCTTTGTCTCTCCTTCAAATCTGAATTATAGCTTTGCTGGCTACAGTATTCTTGGTTGTGGGGTTTTTTTTTCCTGTTGTCAATGAAAATTCAATTAGCTTTCAAGTTAAGAATTAAAAAGGGGAATTTTATTCGAGCCAAACAGAATTATAACCCAAGAAGCGGATTCTTGGAAAGTTCTGAGAACTGTTCTGCCTGTTAGAAGTTGAAGGCATAGACAGACATATTTTTGAGACAAAGTATTGTACATCAAAATGACATTCTGACATTTTAAATAAAGTTCACCAAGGATACATAGTCCAGGTAAGTACTTACACGAAGTGAGCAGCAAGTCACCATAGCCCCTAAAGAACTGGAAAAGAATACTTTTCTTTTAAGAATACATTGCTAGCATCAGAAGAAAAAAAAATTTGACCTTTATGGTTGAGCAGGCTCTCCCATCTTTGAGGACCTCTGGTTAATGTGTAATGTAGGTGCACATGGCACATTAGGGAAGGAGGAGGCCCAAAGAAACACACAGAGAGAATTTTATGTTTAAGTTTTTTCTTGTCCTGACTTAAAATATAAATTTTATTTCATCGCCTTCATCACTTTAAATATATTGTGCCACTCCCTTGTGGCCAACAAAGTTTCTGCTGAAAAGTTAGCTAACAGTCTTATGGGAATTCTCCGGTAAACTTGTTCCTTTTTCCTTTCTGCTCTTAGGAGTCTCTCTTTACTTTTTGCCATTTTAATTACAACGTGTCTTGGTATAGCTATCTTTGGGTTCATCTTGTTTGGGGCTCTCTGTGCTTCCTGGACTTAAATGTCTGATTCCTTTCCCATGTTGAGGATGTTTTCAGCCATTATTTCTTCAAATAAGTTCTCTGCCCTTTTTATTTTCCTCTCTTCTCCTCCTTCTGGGACCCCTATAATGTAAATGGTTGTTGTTGTCCCAGAGGTCTCTTAAACTGTTCTCATTTTTAAAAATTCTTTTTTATGTTCAGTTTGGGTGATTTCCACTACCCTCTCTTCCAGCTCATTGATGTTCCTCTGTATCATCTAATCTGTTGATTCCTTTTAGTGTATTTTTTCATTTCAGTTATTGTATTCTTCAGCTCTGTTTGGTTCTTTTTTATATTTTTCTAACTCTATGTTAAACTTCTCACTGTGTTCCTCCATTCCTCTCCTGAGTCCTTTGAGCTTCTTTATGATCATTACCTTGAACTCTTTATTGGGTAGATTGCTTATCTCCATGTCACTTTGTTCTTGTTTTTTATCTTGTTCCCTCATTTGGAACATATTTCTTTATTGCCTCATCTTGCTTAATTTGCTGTTTTATTCCTATATATTTGGTGGGTTGATTACATCTCCCAGTCTTGGAGAAGTGGCTTTTGTAGGAGACATTCTGTGTGTCCCAGCAGCGTACTCCCTCTGGTCACCAGAGCTGTATGCTATAGGGATGCTTCCTATGTGGACTGTGTGGGCCCTTCTGTTGTAGTGGGCTGACTGCTGTGGGTGGTCTGGTAGGGCCAGCTGGCCCCTGGGCTGGTTGGTTGACAGGCCCTGCCTTTTGCGGAGGTTGCTGGCCACTTGTGATTGGGGCCAGGTCACAAGTGGCTGGCTGTGGAACCCTGGGGATCCTGGGGCTAGTCCTTGTCCACTGATGGGTGGAGCTGGGTCCTGGGGTGGTTGTTTGCAAGGTCAGGGGTCCTGGATCTACTGTCACCTTCTCGTGGTTGGGGCTGGTTCCTGACATGGCTGGCAGTGGGGCCTGGTGTGTCCCAACTCTGATGTCAGCCCATTGGTGAGTGAGGCTGGATCTTGAGGCAACTCTTGAGATGCTCAAGGTTCTCAGAGCTGCTGTTGGATTGCTGGTGGGTGGGGTTGGGGATCAGGGGGTCCCAGGGCTAGTGCTGGCCTGTTGGTGTGTGAAGCCAGCTCCCAGGGTCTCTGGCTGCAGGATTCTGTGGGTTCCAGAGTTGGTATTGGCCTGCTGGTGGGTGAGGCTGGGTCCTGGGGTCTCTGGTTGTATGGTCTAGGGCTCCTAGAGCTGGTTTTGGCCTACTGGTGGGCAGGGTGGGGGCACAAAGGTTCCTGGGGCTAGTGCCTGGTCATTGGTGAGTGACACTAGGTCCAGGGGCTTCTGACCTGGGGGTCCTGGAGCTGGTATTAACCTGCTGGTGGGTGGGGCTGGGTCCTGGACCTTCTGGTGGACAGGGCTACGTCCCCTGGCAGCTGAGGGCTCAGGGTGTCTTTGGCAGCAGTCTGTTGATGGTTGAGGCTATGCCCCCTGCCACTACCTGCTTAGACTGAGTCATCCTAGGACTGGTGTCAACTGGCTGGTGAGTGGGGCCAGGTCCCAGTGCTAATAAGCTAGAGGGAGGATTCCAAAATAGTGCTTGCCAGCACCAGTGTCCTCTTGGTAGATAAGCCCCCCAAAATGGCTGCCACCAGCATCTATGTCCTCAGGGTGAACTCCAGTTGCCTCTTGCCTCTCCAGGAGGCTCTACAAGATTAGCAGGTGGGTCTGATCTAGGCTGCTTTCAGACTAGTGTTTCTGCTCTAGGTCTTGAAATGTGTGAGATTTTGTAGGGGCCCTTTAAGAGTAGAGTCTACATTTTTCCACAGCCCTCTCGCTCTCCTGAAAGTGAGCCTCACTGGCCTTCAAAGCCAAACATTCTGGGGGTTTGTCTTCCCAGTGCACGACTCCCAGGCTAGGGTGCCCGATGTAGGGCTCAGACCCCTCACTCCTTCAGGAGAACCTGTGCAGTTGTAATTACCTTCCTGTCTGTGGGTTGCTCACCTGGGGGTGTGGGTCTTGATTATACAATGTCTCCGCCCCTCCTACCCATCTTGTTGTGATTCCCTCTTTATATCTTTCATTGTAGATCTTTTCTGCTAGTCTTCAGGCCTTTCTCATTAATAGCCTGTCTATAAATTGTTCTAATCTTGGTGTGCTCATGGGAGGAGGGTTCTTGGCTACTCCTGGTAACCATTTCTGATGTGACATTTATCATCAAGTTTTCCATCTGACTGGAATTCCTCATATTCTGGCTTATGCTTTTGTCCACTTTCTCAGTAGGCAGTTCTGATACAGAGGCCCTGTCCCTCACCTACCTTAGGGACAGACAGTGGCAGGCTCTGTCCTGGATCTTCTGCTCACTAGGTACGAGCACACAAGTTAATTATCTTATAGTTCAGTGAGCAAGGAGTCCAACACTGATCTTACTGGGCTGAAAGCAAGGTATCAGAGGGCTGTTTTGCTTTCTGGAGGCTTGAGGGGAGAATGTGTTTCCTCACTTTTTCAAGCTTCTAGAGCTGCCAACGTTCCTTGGCTCGTGGCCATCAGAGTCAGCAACACAGCATCTCAGACCCTGCTTCCATCACTATCTCTTTTCTCTGACCCTCCCTTCTGCCTCCCTCTTCCATATTTAAGGCCCATCTAGATAATCCAAGCTAATCTCCCTATTTTAAGGTCATCTGATGAGCAAACTTAATTCCTCTTTTCCAGATAAGGTAACAGATTCACAGGTTTCAGAGACTGGGACACAGACATCTTTGAGGGTCATTCTTCTGTGTACCACGAGCCCAAACCTTCATTTCCTGGGAAAGTTTATCTTTTTTTAAACTCCATCGTTTCCTCTAAGTCATATCCTGGGCTCCCGCAACTCAAGCAGTGCTGAAGTAAATAGGTCAGGAATGAATGTACTGCTCATGAAGGACTTCACTAAAGCTAAGTTTGATGAGAGTCTTCCTACTCCTTGGGTACCCAAAACCCAGCCTGGAGAGAGCATGCTGGGAAAAATCATAGAAAAGATTTCTTAGAGCAACAGATGGAATCAAATATTGTGATATATATACCTTTGTGTTTCCAGGTGTGGATTTGGTCCAAAGCCAAGTTTATCAATAGGAAATTCCTAATGGAGGAACTTTACCAGCGTTTTCTAGATGGAGAAGACAGCCATGTAGCTCAGGAAGATGATCCTTTCTGGGATCCTGTCGAGGCTGTCCACTTGGGCTCAGCTCACATCTGGCTCCAGTCGCTTGCCTACTGCATGAAGTTTGAGGAGCAAGTGGAGTTTCTGAACTGTGATGGGCTCGGAGAGGCCATGTTGCACATCCACATAACCCCGTGCCTCCCAACAGGACGGTGGGTATCTCCTCCACTCCCTTGTCTAGTTCTGGGTCTGTCACATAGAAAACTGATAGCAAGCCTGAGTTCTCCTGGAGGGGGTGGTCAACTTGGTACCCTGAAGAAGTCATTCAAGAGACCAATGAATGAGCTCATTCATTCATGATTTGGCTTTATCAATTCTGATTTTTACCATGGCAGCCAAATCAGCTGACCCGGAATATTTAAAGTCCCATGCCCAGCAGCCTTTGAGCAGCTCAGCACTGCCATGGGGGACCAAAGGAATGAGGACATCCTGCAAAGAAGCAGCAGAAGGAAGGCAGCATGGACACAAACAAAAAGACCTGGGTTGATAGAGAAGCCAAGGGTGCTGTAGGACCTTCTGCCCACAGCTCTGTCCTGGCACCTGTGAGGTCTGGCACCCACCACACACACTTGCTCTTTCCTGTGCTAGAGGCCCATCCCTACTGATGAGGCCTGAGAACCAGCAGCAGAAACCTGATTTCCAGCTCACCCTGTCTCCATCTTGGTACAGGCTTCGATAATTTCTTTGTTCCTTGTCTCAAGGAAGGGACTGTGGTGTCTTTGTTTCCTTCTCTGGCCTCATTCTGAGCAGTTATCTGACCACTTTCTGTGGGTACAAGCTTTGTTCTAAATCCACTCCATTACCTTTACCGCCCTCTCCCGGGGAGGAACCTGTTTTCTCTCTTTGAGCCGTAAGCAGTTCAGGCAGTTTTTACAAAAGCTAAAGTCCTTTAGCAATTCTAAGCAAAGAGGCAGGCTGGGGGTCTAGTCTGGGTGCCAGGGTCCTCATGGGCACCCAATGCAAGCTTTTTGTCTTTCTGAAGAGGAAACAGACTCAAGAAAGGGGCAAGAGAATGGCAAAATCCTGTGACTAAGAGATCAAGATGAGCACTGTCTCACTGTTCTTACTGGGACTCTAAACTTTCCGGTCACTTGGCTGCCTTGGGCTTCTAGACTGCCTGCTGGTTATATTTCCTGTTGTGAGTTAATACAGTGCATTCTAGTTTACAGGTTGCAATCTTGTGAGCTTGGTTGATATGAGAGATATCCCCTGTTGGAAAGTTGCCCAAATTAGTTTCTGAGCCTGTAGGCCTGGAGTTTACTCTGGACTATGAAGAATTCACCAAGGAAAATGACACCTTGATGAGGCCACCTCTAGGCAGCCAGCTGGCTTTCTCTGGGTGGCTGCCCCTCTGTCCCGCTGGGAACCTACTAAATCTTCAATGGTAGTTTGTCACCCACATCTGGGTACATTTACTGCATGAAGTTATATTCCTGCCTCCTCCTTGAGAAGGTCTGTATCTTACCTTGAAGTACTAGCCTAGAGTGGACCCCTGTTAAGTCTCTTGAATGAATGAATTCTATAACTGGTAGTATTACCCATCCTTCCTTCAGAGAATTTGGCCACCTCTTATGGAGTCTGTATAATTCCCATTACATCACAGTCCTAACTTGCTTGGACCCAGGCTTTTTTTTTTTAATTCAAGTATAGTCAGTTACAATGTGTCAATTTCTGTGTACAGCATAATGTCCCAGTCATGCATATACATACATATATTCATTTTCATATTTCTTCTTAAAGGTTATTACAAGATATTAAATATAGTTCCCTGTGCTATACAGAAGAAATTTGAGTTTTTTAAATCTATTTTTATATATAGTAGCTAACATTTGCAAATCTAACTCCCAAATTTATCCCTTCCCTTCCCTTTCCCCCCAGTAACCATAAGATTGTTTACTATGCAAGTCTGTTTCTGTTCTGTAGATGAGTTCTTTTTTTTTTTTTAGAGTCTACATATGAGTGATATCATGATGTTTTTCTTTCTTTCTGGCTTACTTCACTTAGAATGATGATCTCTAAGTCCGTCTATGTTGCTGCAAATGGCTTATTTTATTTTCTTTTTCATGGCTCAGTAGTATTCCATTGTATAAATATACCACAACTTCTTTATCCAGTCATCTGTTGATGGACATTTAGGTTGTTTCCATGTCTTGGCTATTGTCTATAGTGATGCTATGAACATTGGGATGCATGTATCTTCCCAAATTAGAGTTTCCTCCAGATATATTCCCACGCATGGGATTGCCGGACCATATGGTAAGTCTATTTTTAGTTTTCTGACGAATCTCCATACTGTTTTCCACAGTGGCTGTACCAAACTACATTCCTACCAGCAGTGTAGGAGAGTTCCCTTTTCTCCACACCCTCTCCAGCATTTATCATTTGTGGACTTTTGAATGATGGCCATTCTGATTGGCGTGAGGTGATAGATACCTCATTGTAGTTTTGATTTGCATTTCTCTGATAGTTAGCAATATTAAGCATTTTTTCATGTGCCTATTGGCCATTTGTATGTCTTCATTGGAGAATTGCTTGTTTAGGTCTTCTGCACATTTTGGGATTAGGTTGTTTATTTTTTGTTATTAAGTTATATGAGCTGTTTATATATTCTGGAAATTAAGCCTTTGTCAGTCATATCATTTGCAAATATTTTCTCCCATTCTGTAGGTTGTTGTTTTGTTTTGTTTATGGTTTTCTTTGCTGTGCAAAAGCTTATAAATTTCATTAGTTCCCATTTGTTAATTTTTGCTTTTATTTCTGTTGCCTGGGTAAACTGCCCTAGGAGAACATTGCCAAGATTTATGTCAGAATGTTTTGCCTATGTTTTCTTCTAGGAGGTTTATCGTGTCTTGTCTTATATTTAAGTCTTTAAGCCATTTTGAGTTTATTTTTGTGTATGGTGTGAGGGAGTGTTCTAACTTCATTGATTTATGTGCTGCTGTACAGTTTTCCCAACACAACTTGCTGAAGAGACTGTCTTTTCTCCATTGTATATTCTTGCCTCCTTTGTTGAAGATTAATTGACCATGGGTCTGTGGGTTAATTTCTGGGCTCTCTGTTCTGTTCCATTGATCCGTATGTTTTTTTTTTTTTTTTTTTGGCAATACCATGCTGTTTTGATTACTGTAGCTGAAGTCTTTTTCTTCAGTATTGCTTTAGCAATTCTGGGCTTTTTGTTATTCCATAGAAATTTTAGGATTATTTGTTCTAGTTCTGTGAATAATGTCATAGGTAATTTGATAGGGATCACATTAAATCTGTAGACTACCTTGGCCATTTTAACAATATTGAGTCTTTCAATCCAAGAGCATAAGATATCTTTCCATTTCTTTAAGACATCTTTAATTTCCTTAATGTTTGTATAAGTCTTTCACCTTCTTGGTGAGATTTATTCCTAAGTATTTTATTGTTTTAGATGCAATTATAAAAGGGATTGTTTCTTTACTTTCTTTTCCTGATATTTCATTGTTAGTGTAAAAAAATGCAACTGATTTCTGTATGTTAATCTTGTATCCTGCTACCTTGCCAAATTCTTTTGTCTGCTCTAGTAGTTTTTGTGTGGGGCCTTTAGGGTTTTCTATGTATAGTATCATGTCATCTGTATACAGTGACAATTTAACTCTTCTCTTCCAGTTTGGACCCCTTTTATTTCTTTTTCTTGCCTGACTGCTGTGGCTAGGACTTCCAAAACTATGTTGAATAGAAGTGGTGGGAGTAGGCATCCTTGTATTGTTCCAGATTTTAGTGAGAAGGCTTTCAGTTTTCCACCACTGAATATTATACTGGCTCTCAGTTTGTCATCTTTTTATTGTGTTGTGTTTATTGTGTTGAGATATGTTCCCTCTATACCTACTTTGGTCAGAGTTTTAATCATAAATGAGTGTTGAATTTTACCAAATGCTTTTTCTGTATCTATTCAGATGATCGTGTGATTTTTGTCCTTTTGTGGATGTAGTGTATCACACTGATTTGCATATGTTGAACCATTCTTGTGTCCGTGGGAGGAATCCAACTTGATCATGGTGTATGATCGTTTTAAAATGCTATTGGATTCTGTTTGCTAATATTTTGTTGAGGATTTTTGCATCTATGTTCATCAATGACACTGGCCTATAGCTTTATTTTTTGGTAGTGAGCTTGTCTGGTTTTGGTATCAGGGTGATGGTGGCTTCATAAGAATGAGTTTGGGAGTATTCTCTCCTCTTCAGTCTTTTGGAAGAGTTTGAGAAGGATCGGTATGAGTTCTTTGTATGTTTGGTAGAATTCCCCAGTGAAGCCATCTGGTCCGGGACTTTTGTTTGCAGGGAGGTTTTTTTATTGCTGATTCTATTTCATTTCTAGTGATTGGTCTGTTCAAGAGGTCTATTTCTTCTTGATTCAGTCTTGGTGGACTGTATGTTTCCAGAAACTTGTCCACTTCTTTTAGGTTGTCCAAATTGTTTCCATATAGTTTTTCATAGTCAGGCTAACTTGTGATCAGTGTTTACCTTTTCTGTTTGTAGAGCACATGGTGAGGAGGATGTGGTTATCGACCCTTTGGAGCTGCTGGGCAAGAGGATGGATTTCCAGATTCACATTGTGCGGTGCCTTGGCACCAAGTGGCTAAAGGAAGATGCAGAGCGGGGCATCCAGATTGGGTACCAGCCTGCCCCACAGAACTGCTTGCTGTGTACAAACTGCCCACCTCGTGGTCCCTGGTGGGGGGTGTATTTTCTCAAGTTTTAAAAATGAGTTGATCTGCTTATTCAACTCCCTATTTAACAGAGGGATAAGCCACATGTCCCTCCAGGTCACTGGACTGTGGTCAGTGTGTACTGATCCTCCTAAGTGATTGAAGTGATAGAGTCAGAAGTTTTAATTATCAGAAAGAGTATCTAGTATGACTGTTATCTGAGGAGGATGACTGAGGTTTTGGGGTTTTTTTTTTTTTGAAGCAAAAGGACTGTATTACCATATGGCAGAGATACCAGATATAAACTAATTAGGCTAAAAGGATATTAAAAGATAAAACAATAAAGAAAGGGAGATTCTGAAGGACAGAAACAAACCACCACTTCACATGGAAAATTAACAATTTTAGATTATCTAAGTAGAAAGTATTTATCAAAATCCTTTTCCTTTTTTGTTAGACATTTCATATTATCCATGTAGTGATGATACCCATGTTGAATAGCTGAGATGCTGGAGGCGGTAATCATGAGAATCAATTTCAGGTCATCTTTTATCAACTAACCAAAGCAGGCCATAATTCTTTGGCTCACCTGACCGAAGTGTATACCTTCTGGTTTAAGTTATGTTTTCTGTTCTTTTCTCAGGTACAGAATTTATGACCTTCCAAACACTTTATATACCAAGCCTGTATGGAAAATTATGAATCCCCAAATTGAAGAGACTATCCAGTTTACAGCCTTAAATGCATCTCAGGAGTTTCTGAATTATTTACAGACAAATGCTCTCATTGTTGACTTATGGGGTCTTCAAGGTACCACATTTATTTCCTCTTTTGCATGGTGCATTCCTCAGTCAGATATTGTGTCAGGGTATCTAGGGCTGCAAAGGTCTTGACAGTGGTGACCAAGAGAATCTTCCCCTGGGCCCCTGGGGTTTAGTCCACAGGTGATTATGTGGTTTAAAGCTCCTCACACAACAGTGCCGGATAATTGAGACATTTCTTTCTTTGGTGGTGTCTTCCCCACACTACAGAAGGCTGTGCCGAACTGAGCTGCTCTTGGGCAAACTTCATGGTCACAAGTGAAGGCCATATCATGGTAGACACCAAGAAAAGTTCCACTATGATGGATCCAGGCCAGGTGTGTATATTTATGTGACATTAAAATGGACATTACAGATGACTAGAAAAATCTCAGATGACAGCTGCTTAGGGATCATCAATGTTCCTTCCCATTAACAAACCTTTTTTTCAAATCTAGATTTCACATGGTAGCAACAATTGCCTGTCTCAAAGGATATGCAGATAATCCAGCAAAAGGCTAAACTGACATGTTTTTTGTAGACTACATCAAACCAGATATCAGAACTCTATCTGAAGCTGCTCAAGTTAGAACAGGAGACGGACCTGCTCAGAAACATTAACAGAGTCCTTCGAGTAGAAAATGTGTTTCTCAAAGAATCTCTGGAGAAAATTGGTGCTTGTCAACAAGGTGAGAGGCCACTCAGGTCTTGGTGTTTAGTTTCTCTTTGAACTCCTACATTTGTGATGTGTATCTGTCTTTCTCAGAAATAAATTCTTTAATAAGTTAATCTATTTCTTGTCTTAGTTGGAAAAAAAACAGGGAGAACTCTTTTTCCTTGTAAAATTTCTTTGGATGGGTCCAAATTGGTGTCTGATAAAATGATTATGTAGTAAAATGCCACCAAGGTAATTAAATATATAAATACCTGGATAAATAGATAAATAAATGCATGCTACCTTTTGTTTCAGTCTCAGAACATCAGCCTTCTAACACCCTGAAGATAGCTGGGATGACAGCACGACTGCCAGCAGCCAGAGAGATTAGTCAGATGGGCACCCAGCAAGCCAGCTATGACAGAGAATTTGCCAAAGCGCTTAAGGTGTTCTACCAAAGCATGAATGTGGCGAGAGGGCAGTTTCTCAAACTGAGACATTATAAACCTCCGGTAAGTAACCAGAATCCTAGGAGCAAAAGGAATTTCTTTCCATTAGATGTGTATATTTGATATAATTGCACTTCTCAAGCTTGGGGATGTGCATGTGTTTAAGCAGAAGATAAGGTCGAGGCCTGGAATGGTGTGAGTTTACGCCTTTCGGTCCTCTGCCCGCCTTTGCTCCTGATTTTTTCACTTTAGTGTACATCTGGCTGGTTCAAGGCAGCTGTGGCCATTGCAGGATTGATATTCATTCACTTTATGAATACAGAATATCCCAGAAATGCAAGTTCTGTTTATCATTATGAAACCAAATAAATATAATTCATCATATTAAGCTATTACGGGAGAAAAGCCATGATTACTTCACTAGATACAGAAAAAGCATGTGATAAAATTCAGCATCCTACCATGATAAAAACTTCTACAAACTAGGAATAAAATAGACATTCCTTAATCTGAAAAGGTAATCTTAAAGGGACACACAGCAAGCATAATCTTAATGGTAAATCACCAATGTCAGCTATCTTCACTTCTGTTTGACACTGTTAGATTCTAGCTAGTGCAGCAAGGCCAGAAGTATGAAGTATAAAGATTGGAAAGGAAAAAATAGTAATAGCAGTTAACAGCATACATTATATAATACTAACTGCTTTTACATTTTCTGACTCAATTCTCACAAGAACCCCATGGGTAGGTACTGTTACCAGCCTTATTTTACAGCTGATGGATCTAAGGCACAAAGAGAGGTTATGTAACTTCTGTAAGGACACACAGCTAGTAAGTGTTAGGACAAAGCTCCAAACCCAGCCAGGGCTGTTCCACAGTCTAGACTCCCACACCATAGTGCCTCTAGTATTATTTCCAGATGATGTGTTTATGTAAATAGAAAATCCAAAAGAATCTATAAATTAAAAAGTTGCCGGATACAAAAAGTATTTAAAAATTAATTGTATTTGAATATGACAGGAACAAGACAGAAAATTTTTTATAAGCAATACCATTATAATTATCTCAAATATAAGAAGCACTTATGCCTTTAGCTAACACAAAACTATGGACCTTCTATGGAGAAAATTTTAAAAGTTGAGAGATGTTAAAGATGATCTAAATAAATGGAGAAACATGCCATGGCTCCATGGTTTGGAAGACTTGCTATTGCAAATCTGTCAAGTCTCCTGCGATTCAATACAATCTCAATAAAATGTAATGGAATCTGGCAAGATAAACCTATAATTTAGATAAAGTTGCAAAAGCAAAGAATAGCCAAGACAATTCAAGATCCAAAAACAAGATAGGAGGACCTGCCCTAGCCTGATATCAAGGCTTATTTAATGCTATTTGTAATAGATAGTAAGGGATTGGCCCAAATGTAGGTAAGATAACCAAAGAAAAAGAACAGAAAATCCAGAAAAAGATTCACTCAGAACTAGAGATGAGTGTGGCAAGGATGGATTTTTCAATAAATAGTGGTAAGAGAATCTATATGAGGATAAATTGATTCTTATCTAGAACTATACCCAAAAATCAATTTTAGGTTAGAATTAAAGACCTAAATATGAAAGGTAAACCCCTAACACTTACAGAAGATACTTTAGGAGACGTCTTCATGATCTCACAGTAGAAAATGATTTAAACATGATATGAAAAATACCTAGGTTTAAAGAAAAAGACTGATAGATTCACCTACCTTAAAATTGTAAAGTTTACATAAATGCTGGAGAGGGTGTGGAGAAAAGGGAACCCTCCTACACTGTCAGTGGGAATGTAATTTGGTGCAGCCACCATGGAAAACAGTATGGAGATTCCTTAAAAAACTAAAAATAGACTTACTATATGATCCAGCAATCCCACTCCTGGGCATATACCCTGAGGAAGCTCTAATTTGAAAAGATACATGCAACCCATTGTTCACAGCAGCACTATATACAATAGCAAAGACAGAGAAGCAATCTAAATGTCCATCAACAGATGGTTTGATAAAGACGTTGCAGTATAACATACATACACACACACACACACACACACACACACACACACACACACACACAACAAATAAACTACTACACGACGAACTAAAATAAAAATAAAATAAATAATCGTACTTAGTTAGTACGACAACTAGTGGTAGTACGGTACCGTGGAGTCGTTACT